TCTATATCCGTGTTATCGTTATTCACGACAATCACAGCAACCGAGTTGTCCGGTCGTCGAAAGGCGGCGACACTGGCTTTACTGCCGGTAGAGGTCGTGTCCACCCGTACGGAACCGGGCGGCAAAAATTTGCTGAAGTGGGCCAACGCGTAGTACGAGGGCTGCCTATAGTACTCGCCGGCGCCGGCGTTTATGAGGATGGGTGAGTCGACAAAGTTGTTGGTCCAGTTGGGACCTCCCTGGGTGTCCAGCGCCATGTTCCAGTCCACCCAACCCATGGTGTGGTGAAGTAGGTGCTAGGTGATTAAAAATTATAAATTAGTATTTCAGTTATTTTTTAAAACTAAAATTTAAATATTTAATGAATCCGGGGACCAGTGTCACCAGATCCCAAGTATTTGACTTGACATTTAAGTATTTGGGGTGTTTGTCAAGTGACATGGCAAGGGGTAATACTTGACATTATAATGTCAAGTATTTTATTTTACATAAATTATTAATGATATTATGTAAAATCGCGATAAAATAGCAAAATAATGATTGATATTTTACTATTCTTATATTAATTATTATGATGAGTAACCTAAAAACAGGATATTATGAATTTTTGGTTAAAGTTCTAATGATTTTATAATAATAAAGTATAGGGAAATAACCTCTATTGTCCAGATTAATACTTGAAATTTATTTGACAAGTATTAGTGTTTAAAATAAAATATCAATTAATAATAAATTTTTAATTGACTTAATTATAGAAAACTAAAACTATTTTAAAAGAAATATTTTCCCAATTAGTTAAATTTTTAGGTTTAAATTCATAAGTTTAGTTTCAGCATACTTAATAACTTAGTTGAGCATAGTTTTAAGTTATTGTCGTATGAAATAGTATTTGAACTATTATAAAAGCATAGTTTAATTGTATTTCACAAAAAACTTGTCAAGTATTTGTCAAGTATTTTTTGAAGAGTTTATTCAAAAATACAAGTATTTTGGATTTTCGATCTGGTCACACTGCTGGGGACCCGTATATCAGCCGGTTCATTTTTGTTAATAAATTGATAATAAGTAAAAATACCTGGATAATATCATTAGCATAACGTTCAGCCAAATGCCAGTCCCCAATTTTGACACCACCCACCTGACACGCCTCAGTAGCCAAGAAAAACTTATCAGGGTGACCCTGATAAGCCTCATCAAGCACAGTATGGGGTGTTCCGGGTGAGTACCAATGGGTAGCCGTTCCGGCGGCGTATTTAGCGGCAGTTTTGTCGGCAAATATGACGCGCACCCACTCCTTCACCAGATCCAGGTTGTGGTCCAATACCATGAGCTTGAGTTTGTCGGGTCCCCAACCACTGGCCTCTAACTCAGGTCCCA